CATCGCATACATCCCATCCATCCATCTATCCCATCTATCCAATCCATTCCATCCATCCCATCCATCCATCCCATCCATCCCATCCATTTATCCATCCCATCCATTGCATCCATCCCATCTAGCTTATCCAGAGCCATCCAGAGCCCATCCAGCACATTCATCCTATTGATTCATCCCTCCATTCTTTTGATTTTCCATTCCTTCCTTTATTCCTTCATTCCTTCATATATTCAACCACTCGCTTGCTCGCTTGTCTGTCCATCCGTTTTCTTTGTTCATTTATTCCTTCATTTATTTGTTTGTTCATTCATTCATTCTTTACACTATTTATCTCATGTTTAACTTTTTTATTTTTATTTTTATTATTGGGCTCATTGTACATATTTTTTCTAATTTTTAGAACGTTTTTGGGAAATCCTAGCAATTATCTTAGGTGTGTTGTTGGTTCTGTCTTTCGTCATCCATAGTGTTTTGATCATTCGTTATTGGTAAGTAAATAGAAGAATTTAAAATAAAATTTTGATCACCTCCATTTTTCCCATTAAAATGTCAAGGGTCGAGGGTAACAAGTTGGACTCATTTTATTCACAATAAAATTTACATGTTTGTCAGTTCCAAGCGGAAATGATATGAAATAGTTATCTACAACATGGAAAATGTTAAGAGAAATTTTGTGACCCTGGATATGGTACCCTTGACTCTTGAGGTTAGACCCTTGACACTCAATACTTGGCCAAAACCCAGACTTTTTTCCCTGTATCCTTATCCAAAGAGAGAACATTTTTAAAATCCTCAAAATGAGAATAATGAAAAAAAGAAAAAACAAATTGCAACCAACTGAATCACGCTTATTGGCCTTTCCAAGGAGTCACAGAAAACTAATGACGAACAGGGCACACAAAAAATGATGGCGATGCTTTAGGAGATGTCCTTTTTTCAATATGGCAGAAAGCTTAGCAAAATCTCATGAAAAACAGACCAAAAAAACAAAGTAAATGTGACTCAATTCAAAAACTAAAACCTTTAAGACAAAAAAAGTGTCCCATAAAAAAGATTTACGATTCAACGTACGTCCTCACTTGTTACCAGTTTTCCGTGAACCTAGGAAAGACTAATTCTCAGTGGCATTTGTGGAATATAATTCAAGGATGTAACTCCCTTTCCATTAGTAGCTCTTTTGTAAGGAAAGGGGAGGAAGCGATGATTTGTCAATGTTATTGGGAAGTGAGCCTCTTTGTGTAAATCCTGATACATCCCTAAATATGAGGTAAATTTGAGTTTTCTTTCGGCAAGTCTCATTGATTATTTCAAGGGCTAGAACTTTACTTTCTTCATTGGTAGAGTTCAGTCCCATAAGTTGCCAAAAATTGTTGCGAGCTTGAAGGGATGCCCCTTTGAACATTTTGGCCTACGGTCTGAAGGTCCAAAGAACGGTTCAAATAGTCTAATAAAGGTTGTAACTTCCTGCGATGATTTCAACAAAAAGATATTTTTCAAGTATTTTGATAATTGCTATCTTCTTTTAGTGTGAAGAAAAATAGAAAACCTGATAGACAGTTATCCCAGAGCAGTCAAAAGGGCAGTGACGAACCACTCAAGAGTCTAATTGTTGATTCTTATAACAAGAAATCAAAACATGGACGCGTTTCTGCAGCATTGTAGCCGTTTACTTTACTCTTTCAATCAGCTGATATTTATTATTTTCTGGTGGTCAAACACTGGTGGTCAGACACAATCACCATGTACTGTCAGCCAGAAAGATTTTATCGAAAACTAGCGATTCAGCTGATGAACCAGCACGAGAGAATTAAACCCAGCCACCCATCTTCATACGCTGTTCTTAAAGATGCCATAGCTGATAGCTCCAAAATGTACCACGAACGTGACAGGATGGTGTAGAAACCATCCTGTCCTGACACGCATATTGCACGTCTGCCTTGTCTGACAAGTTCGTGATAGTCTTCATGACAGTCGATCAGCCTCATCCTAAAATTATAAATTACAGCTAGTTTCTCTGGGGGACAAATGGCAGCAAAAAGGAAACACGAACTTGAAATAAGAGACTATCGCTTTTCATACACTGCCGCTGTTGTAGATATTTCATCCAGTGCATACCATATGTCCGTAAAAAACTTTTTGGGGGTAATCGCACAAATTTGCACAAATTAGTAAGCTCATTAGATCTCAGTTGACCGAAGACCTACAACACTTTGCACTAATTTGTACAATTTTTAAGTTAATTTTTTCACGCATATATGGTATGCACTCTATCATCGGCCGTTAAATTTAGAAATTTTAGTTTCTTTGGGCAAGTCGTAGCGAAAATAAAAGTTTTCACTTTGTCATGTCATTTCAAATCGGATAGTCCTCTTAGTTCACTATTTACTTAGCATTCAGCTGATGAAAAAATCGCAGCGAAGTTAGCAAACCATGATCACAGGGAGCCATGCCAAATTGACATAAAAGTGAAATATGAAAACAAAATCGGCAAAAATAGAGCACAAATAAGGAGAACCTTTATTCTTGCGCGCACGCCTTTGTTTTCCTATATAATTTCCCATAATGCCACGCCTTTCACTTTCATCTAAACAGGGCACCATTTCCGTGGTAGTATCTTCATCCCTTTTAGTGCATTCTAGATTCCGAATTTCATGTGGAAACAAATGCGTTTTTTGTTTAAGAACAATTATTCTCTCGAATTGTTCGCCGTTTTTCGTTTTGGTGTATTTACGAGACAACATCTCATCAGCCTTAAGTGTTGCGTTGGTTCAAATCACCAAGGATAATACTTGTATCAGACATCCCGCTGCTTTCAACTTAAGTATCTCATAAAAGTCTTTCTTATTGTTTAAGGCCACGTCGCACTTGCTCCTCGGCATAAAGGGCAAAGAGTACATCCACAACAACATACTTTTTTCATCGACGAATCAAGTATTGCAAATTTAACGACGAATGATTGTGTTAATATCAAATTTTCAGTGTTTGGGGTTGTTGGAGCCTACCGGCTGCAATAAGGGGAGGGGAGAGGGGGGGGGGGGGTCAAAACTCCTTTAACGTGACGGGAACTAAGGTGAATCTGGCCCAAGGGCACTGAGTCTTTTATTTCCTTCCCAACGGAGATACCAAAATATAAGATAATTAATTTGTGAAGATTTCAAAACAAGCAAATAAAAACTGATGCCGGAGGTGGTGATGGAAAGTATTAGAAGGAGGGAAAAACTTGATCGAGCGCATCAGAACAGTTAGTTTTGAAAGATAGCCTCTCTCTGTCGACTTTGACTGAATTATGAAACATCCCAATGTGCTGATTGTATGTGTTTGTACATGTAAACATTTCATGACAATTTAATTGACCTTGTGGTCAATCACATCCGGTGTACGTCACGTGGTTTTCGACCAGATTTTTTAGAAATTCTTCCTCTCAAAATGTATTTTATTATTATTATTATTTTGGTCTATAGGAGGTTTCCTCTTGTTCTCCGAAATTTATACAACCCAAATAATTACGGCAAGCCACATAAAGGAATTAAATGTAGCGTGGGTGGGGCCGGATGGGGGTTGTGCCTCGCCATACGTCCTACGATAGTAGTACAGTCGATTGGTGCTGAGCATCACCTTCTGACGTATAGATTGCGCAAGAACATAAGCTGCTACTGCCCTTTAAAGGTTTTGTTTATTTTCTGTCAATTTGTCCATATTAGTATTACTCCGGTCGTATGCTCAGCTATTGTCTTAGGACATGTGAAACTGAAAGCCAAATTAGTGCCTTGTTGATTTGCTTACATCAGTCCCGGGTACGTCCATTGGGTGTAGCCCAACAATTAAATATGTAAATTTCGTTTCATATTTGTCAAGTCAAGTTATCAAAAAAGTAATTTAAGAGCATCCGTAAATATTGTGGTTTGAATGAAATTTTTGTAGTTTCTCTTACTCACTACCCCCACTTTTTATTTAGCCCAGCTTCTTCTCATTCTAGTACCCCTGCCCCCAGCTTTTTCTCAATTCTAGCCTAATATATTTTCCAATTTTTTATGGGATTCTAAAAAGTTTGTACATCTGTCTCCGGTACACGCGAGGATCTCGAGGCGGAATCTTTGAGCGCAAGGAACTGTGGGTAGAATCAACTGATGCGTGGGTCGTTCCTTCATGTATGACCACACGAATTGGCACTATCTTGGGGTTGTGTGTTGTGGTAGTGTTGCATCGTTCGGTGTCACCTTTAGTGATCCGTGTAGGTGCAGCACATGTAGTTGGTGTAATACCCGTAGTACCCGTGGTAGGTGTAGTACCTGTAGTACCAGTAATACCTGTAGTACCAGTAATACCTGTAGTATCTGTAGTAGGTGTAGTAGATGTAGTACCTGTAGTATCCGTAGTACCTGTAGTAACTGTAGTATCCGTAGTACCTGTAGTATCCGTAGTAGGTGTAGTACCTGTAGTATCTGTAGTACCCGTAGTAGGTGTAGTACCTGTAGTACCAGTAATAGCTGTAGTACCCGTAGTAGGTGTAGTATCCGTAGTACCTGTAGTACCTGTAGTACCCGTAGTAGGTGTAGTATCTGTAGTACCTGTAGTAGGTGTAGAACCTGTAGTACCAGTAATACCTGTAGTATCTGTAGTAGGTGTAGTAGATGTAGTATCTGTAGTACCTGTAGTATCTGTAGTACCTGTAGTAGGTGTAGTATCCGTAGTACCT